TTCATTTATTTTATTTCTGTTTTTTGGGGAGGAAAGCATTTTCGGTAAGCATAGATGTCTAATATTATAAGAATGTTTATTTTTCATTTAGAAGAAAAATCCAGAAAATAAAATTTCTTGTCTTTATTTGATTTTATATTGGTTTACAGAAACTTTAATCATGTTCATTAGGTTGTAGGTGAATACTAGTGAATGGTTGAAAATAGCTCTTCATTGTTCTCTGGTTTTCAAAGGATTTTATGTGTGATTAAAACAGCGTTTAATATATTTGTTGGTTTCATTATTAAATGAAGTAATTTTAACTGAGTTTAAAATCCAGTATAGACTCGTTAGTTCTCTACTGATTACCAAAGCAGTAAAACTAATGTTATACATGTCTAGCCATTAGTTGTGTCTACATTATATCGATAGAGTTGGATTATGGTCAATTGCCTGAGTAATTCGGCACTTTGGAATAGTAGGTTTTAATGTCAAGTGGTTGGTATCTTTTGGGAGTAAGCCTTTGTTCTGAGTGATAGATGGCAGTCATCAGCATATACCATCTATAATCTTGGGGGAATTACCATGTTCCTTGAGATTCAAATGTGTATTATCAAGTTTTACAGTTAGGAATAATTATATCTTTGACTGAAGTACTGATAGCGTATGTGGGAGAATGGCATGAATTCATTTTATTTCATGATTTCTCTTCAGCTACTTACAATCTAGAATTAGTAGTGTTGATTATTTAAATAAAAAAACAATGTGCATACTTTATAACCTACTATCAGAAATCTACTCATCAATGGAAATTAGTAGAACAGTAATAAATATGAAAGAATATGAGAGACGTTTAGATGGTTTAATATTTATATGTAAGATAATATGAAATTTATAGAAGAAATTTTAAAAGCTAATAAAGACAGGTTAATGAATAATTGATACTAAAAGTTACTCAGTAACAACAATAATAAGAATTCATTATAATATTAACATGATCGAAACTTTGATGAAACTCAAGAAAGTATGAAGACAGTGAATTTATAATTATAAACACAAAATATTACACACTTACACTTTGATAACTGAGGTCATCAGGGTAATGTAGAAGTGACAAGAGTATCATGTTGAATGTATGAATCTGGTTCAATCTTCTGGAAGCAATGCCTTCAGGGAAAATTACTGAGTTCAAAGTTATTTGCTTATGAGTAATTTTTAGAATTCGAATTCACGTCCCATATCCAGTACATTACGAGGAACCGCTGTATTGAAGATATGTTGACCTCTTAGAGACAATTTCTGTTTATTGTACTCGGAGATGCAAGGATAACTATACTTTCCGGATAATTAGAAGCAGCATAAGTAGAGTATTTGCTAACTTTTGAATGTTTTAAAGAACAATTTTTTTGATGTATTATATATAACCACATGACTATTTGCCTGCCAAGTATCGATGAGCGACCTAACGGTTCTGGGTTCTATTTATGCTTTAGCAGTATATGTTAACCTCTGAGTAGTCCTTTACTGGAATATGACATTAGTAAAAGAAGTTTGTGAATTTTTCACTGATTTATAGTTAACAACATGATTTTGTGACCAGTTGATTTATTGTGGGCACCCATATCAACCATTATTGTAGTGAGTAGAACACGCGTTGGGACAATTGAATGTATTTAACACAAAATTACAGGACTTGTTAATAAAATCTAACAATCATAAAGTAAATACTAAATTTGCAAAATGTCCATCGAATGTCTCAAAATGACTCAGACTTCATTGTCCTTGCATTTTCATACAAATTACATTTTGTTTCCATTCTTTACTGTTCGATCCTCTTGTCTCTCTGCTGCCAGACATTCTGTTCACGACTAACATCATATACTATTTATGCCAATATAAGTAGCACACACCACATTATGACTTAACCTATTGGTTGACCCTTTATACAAGGCTAAGCAATAGCAAATGTTAAATATATCTTATTCAAAATGAATATAAACTCTCAAAGTAAAACAAAAATTATGCAAATTTAAAATTAATTAGTCACCAGTTTCTATTTTCTTAGGATTGAGGTATTTGTAAATTACATTTTACTTATCAGATATATAAGTAAATAGTTAGGCAAACAACATATAAATAACACGAATAATTCGAAAAATATTCTAACTCTTAAATAAATGAATAAGTAAAATTTGCTTAGATGTATCCATTGGATTAATACTTTGTTTACTGAATAAATTTATTTATTTATGCACTCACCTGATCTCTTGCATGTGATCACCTGTACTTATAGGAATTATTAAACAGTATCATTATAAATAGAATTATGTGATATTTAGCATATTTACCATACGTGAAATCTAGGAGATGTGCTTCATCTTATTTAGGACTCATCAGTTGGTTGTAAGTGTATCCCAAGGTGAAAATTTACACTGAAACTCAAGCCTAGCCACCAATACTGTGTTTCATTCCTAGAAAAAGAATTCTATTTCTTGGCCAGTCACGTACCATTTAGTTGATTTTGCTTTGACATTTAATAAATATAAAAAATAGAAAAAAATATTTTGGCGTGTATTACATTTCACATAATTTTTCATTGAACAAATATTGAAGGAAAGGAAATGTTAAGAGTCTAGTACAACGACAAGCTTTAATAATTCATAAAGTAATCACAAGAACACTTATAATACATGAATAGTTTCGTAAAACGGAACAATAAGATTACAGGGAGTCTACATAAATAATGAGTTCGTTGAAATTTTGTACAAGTTCTTTTATCTTTAAATCAAAAATACAACAATATATGAATTTTTCCATTCGGGTATTAAGCATTCATTTTCTCGGACTATTATAAAGTTTCAAATAGTTCCCACATTATTCTTGATTATGATAAATGTTAGGATAAAGAGTTTATAATAAGAGTTGATTTGTTTGCCATACATAATCTACATTAATAACACTGGGCATTTACTATGCTTAACACTTATTTTTGCTCTATGGTGACAGAAAGAAAAAAGAATAATTTTTTTAATAATAATTTTAAACATTTTGAGTACTGTATAAAGATATTTCTACTTCTAGTTTAATGTATGATGAAAATCTTTCATTTTCGAATTTTGCGCAAAGTCATTTCCTTGATTCTGATTGGCTCGTCATTTTAATTATACTTTTATTAGATTGTATTTTTTTTTATCTCTTTCTCAATTAATTTATTATTTTTTTGTATTTTTTTAAAAAAACTAAGATTCTTCATTTAACGACAATTCTGTAAACCGACTGAAAAATTGATTAAAATAACCGAGTTTAAACTGAATGATAAAATGCTTTTATTGATTGTTACTGTGTTGCTTTTTGAATATTCATGTTTTTGACTTACTAAACAAACAAAGTTAATAGCAAACAACTACGGTCAAAAATGAGAGAAATATATATATGATATTACTATTTATGATCAAAACAACAAAAAGAAAACAGTAGTGACTCACTATTCATGTACTACTTACTTGAACATATAAGAAAATATGGTTTTGAGTAATAATAATAATAATAAGTACAATTTAATTGTGAACACTTTGTATATTATCAATACAACGAACCTATATAAGTTGGACAACTATTGAAAATATGAAAGCAGTGAACGTTTATTTATTCCTCCTATGAGACTACTCAGCAATCCCCATCCAAGACCCTGTCACTAAGCACCTAACTCAGACTTTTGAGACTACATTCATTGGTTTTACACGTCAAACTTCAGTTAATCTCCAATTTTACGTGAATATCTACAATTTTCTTCAATTAGTACATTTACTAAACCCTGTATAGTTAAACTCCATCGGCCATAATTTCTCACTATGACACCGGAAATTCTCTCTCATAGTTATTCAATAGTAAGCAACTGTATTCTAATGGTACGGTGGAGTTTGTGGAAGTCATTAAAATTCCCTAGTTTACATAATCGAATTAGCATATTGAGACAGCCGAAATCCTGAATGTGATTCTCTGTTGTAGCACCGTAGATAGGTATTGGTGTTCATCCGCATACTAAGAGGAAACAGCTGCCTAATGGTTCTTGATTTTTAATGTTTGCCTCGATTAGATTGGTTTGTGGTCTTAATAAAGTTCACCGACCCTTACAACCCTCATGCTGATACATATGTAAGATTCACGTAAAAGTCCCTTTTATACATTAATTATTATCTTTCAGTTTCAGGATTTTACTAATGAAGTGATGTAGATGTTAGTTTGTGATTCAACACTGAAATCATGAAAATTTTCCCAAAATCACATATATATAAACTTTGCTTTTGATTATTAAATGACAAGCTTTAAGAGAAAATTTCCCCATTTTCGACTCAAAAATTTTGATTTATGAAACATTAGCTAAGTCAGAGCAGGAACAATAAATCATGTTACATTACAGTTTAATTGAACCTCGAAATTTTAAACCATTGGTTTTTTACTCAAAGGTCCAAAATACTATATAACTGAGTAATCTGAATATCTTGAGGTGGATCCTGTGTGTGGAATCATGGTCATGGATATTACTGTGGAGTTTATAAATAGGACAAATTAGTAACCTAATGTTTAATATCCTTCCGAAGATTCGTTAGCTGATGCCACCTAGTTATGATAAATAAAATTTAGAAAAAAATGTTGAAGAATGGATTAATCATCTCTAGGGCAAAATATAAATATGGCCTCATATTCAAGCTTATCTTGTTATTATTCAGTAGATCGTAAATTTTGTCTGTTTCAGTTAAAAGTGAATACAGAAAACACAATCTATTTTATCGAGATATATGTGTATCCACCATCAAAACAAACATAACTGAATATAGTATAGTTTGTAAACTGTAAGTCCTTATCTAGAATTGAAGTGTACGTAAGTGCATGGTTGACGTATCCTATTAGCCTATCTAAAACATTTACAAGTAATAAATAAATCTTTAAACTAATAAATATTTTTGATTAACTTCCAGCTCTACTACTATTTTCTATATAAATAACATTTATTGCTGAAAATGATATTTCTATTGTGTTTAATAACTTATGTGAATTTCATTACATCGAATCCAACGTCACAAGCAGGTTAGTTTTGTTTTCTTCAAATGGTTTATGTTTAAAGACAAAAGAAGATTGCCGTGAATTTTCATTCTCATTGATATAAAAATTCCCTTCGTCTCATGAATTATGTTCATTCTAATCTAATAAGGATTATTGAGTGGTTTGATATTAGGACGAAATAGCAGTCCAATGTTTCCTGGTGAAAATTCAAAAGTTTCTGCAAATTCACTGTACTAAAACCAAATTACTAAATTTTCAATTCATTGATCATGTTTATCTGGTGTTCGTCGATTTGTATTGATCACCACTAATGAATTGATAGATATTATATTAGTCATTACTCAGTGATCAACTGGCTGCAAAGATTGCAGACCTACTGGAGATCATCTGCAACAAGAAAAGGTTAATGGTAAAGTTTCAGACTATGGAGGTGGGTAATGTGTTAAAATACCACAGAGAGTATTGATTCTCTCAAGATTACAGGTACTCCTTACTAGTGAGTCCCAAGTAGCATGAAACCTAGGTTGATTATCGTTACTTATCAGATACACCCAATCACCTGTTCTATTTCCAGTTAATGGCTGGCAGCAATAGAATCCAGTAGGTGCTCTTCGTCCTATCTAAAACATTCCAGTTACGTGCACCTGAATATTAGTGTTGATGTATTCATACTAGAACTCGAACTTAAAACCTAAGGCTTCACGTTTTATCGCGTTATCCATTATGTTGTTAAACCTAGATAAATGCCAACTTGTGCAGTGGATATGTAGAACATTATTAATGAAACAGAGATGGATAGTGACTAGTAGTGGAATCCCGGAGTGAACATCAACTCTCAGATGCAGGCAAATCCGGCTGACGAGTCCCAAATAGGAAGAAACACGCATCCTGGATTCCACTGCTAGCCACCATTCATTTTTACTTATAATGCTTGTGGCTTAAAGTAATATCGAGGCAATCCGCACAGGATGCACATATATCAATAAGAGACTGATCAATAGCAGTACAAAACATCAATGACAAGATTCAGGTCAACAATTTGAAAATGAAATTAGTAATAAAATATAAATAGTCAGTAATTATGTAAATCATACACACAAGATTTCAGTTGCACTTTAGACGAGTTACTTTCTTTCATATCTGTTGAGAATAATCAAATAATGATATGATGAGGTAAGGAATATGACTAAGAGTTAGATATTTATTCTAGTGTAGAGTGAATAATCTACAGTTGTCATATCATTCAATTGTTTGTTTGTTAATTGAATCTTAATCATGTTGTTTTGTTAAAAGGATAAAACTTATTCTACTGGGCAGATGTCTTGCCCCTGTGATATCAGTTCACTTAGGTGTTTGTTTCCGTAATTCGATCAAGTGAACGTTTACCATTGGGACACATTTCATCCACTAATTTATTAACTTTAAACTTTTTTGATTTATATTCATAAAAGCTTGTTGAAACTAAGTCAGATAACCGATAACAGTGATGTAAAAGAAGTGAATTTTTACCAAAGACTGCTTTAAATATCAGAGGGGATGAATCGATAATGTCGGGGAAATTTTTAAATCTCCCAGTGTTGACAAACTATTCGTATTGTGCATCATGTGATGATAAAACGAGATAAGATTCCGTATCGGATTTCAGTCGTCTAAAAATGGTAAACATTTATGCTTGATATTACAACTTTGAAGTTTAAACATGAGAAAACAGATTTGCATGACTCAAGGAAGTCAGTCAGTAACAACATAGAACTTTGTACGTACATACATCAGTTTGGGTTGCCATACCACATTAGCACAGAGATACAATTGTCAATTCAAATCCCATAGTTGTAGAGGTAGTAAAAGTATAAGCAGTGATCGGAAAGATTAAGGTCTGAAGATATTATTCAAGGAGTATAGCCCAGTGAAATAAATTTAGAAAGAGAAAAAAGAAAGGGACATGAAGAATTCATAAGATTAGAATTTGGGAGAACACAAATAGTGAATGCACCTGCGCCATTGCCAACGATTTTGAGCCATGTCATTCAAGGTCTCTAACCATCGGTTGCTGTCATCTCGCGGTCCCCAACCAGGTAGTCTACACCTACCAACATGACTCAGTTCACTTGTCAGTGACTTCATGGACTTGTGCCATGTTTTGGTTTGGCCGCCCTAGCTTTCTTCCAACCTACTCCTATACCACTGAACATAGCACGTCGAGGCAGTCGGTCGTTGGGCATACGTAACACGTGTCCCAGCCATCTCAACTGATGAAGTTTCACTACTTTGTCAATTGATTTGCCATCGTTATCTAGTACCCGTCTCCAAACAACTACATTACTTACTCGGTGGTACCAGGATATACGAGCAATTATTCGAAGACACTTATGATCAAATACTAGTAACCTACGAATATCCTCTACTCTTACCGGCCATGTTTCATTGCCATAAAGTAGGACGGGACAAACTGCTGCGCAGTAAACCCGTCCTTTGGTAGGTAGACGGATATCTCGCCTACTCCATAAATGACGCATCTTGGCAAAATCTAGTCGAGCATTCTGTATCCGTGTTGAGATTTCGTCACACGCCAGACCACAAGGGCTGATGAGACTCCCAAGAAGTGATGATAGTCAAAGATTTTATTCACTGCAATCATTTATTAATTAAATACATTCATTTATATAGCGATTTTAATGGCATTTAACGATTAACTGAAAATAATTGGAACAAAACAAACGTCTAGACTAAAATTACGCAAATTAATGTTGTAATGAAAAATTAATCGGACTGAATTAATATAAACGAATGTTAAATGTTATACTGAAAGAGTATCACATTAATTGAATACAAAAGAATACTGTATTGATCAAATATACCGGTGAAATAAATCATAATATTACATTTTATTCCCTTCTAACATTTGATTTCGATTTCCAATATAAATTTAGTCTTTAAAGTGAAATTCATCAAATTTACATTGTTTCTAAACATAAATAAATTTGAAATAGTTCAAAACTGAATTTATTGTCACGTTGGATGACATAAACTGAACATTGAGAAAAAAATAAAACTGACATTCATTTTAAAGAAAATGAATAAAAATTCTTGGATTTATATTACTTGCTTACGCCTATTAGCTCGTAGAGGAGCATAGACTGTCCGCCAGCATTCTCCATCAAAATCTGTCCTGGACAATCCTTTTCAGTTGTTTCCACTTTCAGTTGGTATTTTCTGAGATATGATAGTCAGTGTAAGATTGTTTGATAAATGTTGAGTTCTATGAACTTCTTTCACTGTTTTATAAACGATGATTGTCGATATTATAAAATTGGACTCTTTGAGAAGCTTATTCTTTTATATACAATAGATGACAGTTAAAATTCTATTTTAGTATCAGGAATATGTATAACTTAGTTTAATTTTCTAAAGATCCATCCGTTTATTATTTTCTTTCATTTAATATTGAAAATGAAATTCTTCAATGAAATATCACAGATTACCTTCTACAAGAAGAAGCGAATACAACAATCTCAGATTTGAACGAAGATTCGACTGGGGAGTTTACAGTTACTGAAATGTCATCTACATCAATAGATTCTGAACCCATTATAAAATCTGACCATGATGCTTCATCGGTTGAAGAAGTTACTTCCAATGAACCGGACGAAACAACCACTGAATCTGATGAACCTATGTTCGACAATGATCAACACAACGGTGATAACCATCAATCATCTGAACATCATAATGATAACCAAGAAAATCATGAGGATGACCACGAGCACGATCGTAAACATGAACATGAGCATGATCACGAACATCATCATGAACACAAAAATGACTACAACAAGGCAGACATACATAAAAGAACCAGAGGTAAACATTCTGACTCAACTAATCCAAAAAAAGTCAATAAATTATAATAATGTGGATAATAATCCCGATAATGTGAGTACAAATAAAAGAAATAATTAAGTTTCTATGTGTGTATGTGTGTGTGTATGCATTGACTTTACATCTCCTTACACCACCCTACCACACCCTACCCCACCCTCTATAACTATATTGTCTTTCTATATTGTTTTACAAAATATAAAAATATTTTATTTCATTTGAATTCATAAAATTCATTGTCAATTATTTATTCGTGAAATTATTTATTAAAATTGATATTCCAATTTTTCATTTTATTATTTAATTCATAATTTAAATAATTAATTATAATTTTTTTTTCTTCGTATCGAATATTTGATCATTATCATTTTATCACTGTGTCAAATAATATTGTCACCAATTTTTTTTGTGTTTTTTTTTGTTGTTGAAAATGTACACTTTCATAATGTTGTTTACATTAACTTTGAGATTTAATTTCTAATAGTTAGTTAGTTAGTTATAATTGTTTCTAAGTGAATAAATCACTTTTTTTTTAAAAAAAAGCTTTAATCTATTTATTTACGATATGATTGTCAAAAGATAAGAGATGGTACCGAAAATCATAAAGAACTGGCAGGTTATTTATCTTAATTGATTAGTTAAGTGGTTATAAATTAAAGCTGAGAAATATAAACCATTGGTTTAATTATATCAATTTTATCCCAAGACTTTTAAGTTTCAAATTTGGTCTATATGTTTGATTGTAATTTGACATTGTTGTTAAGTCGGACATTTAACTAGAATAAAGCAGCAGTTGTTGTTGGTTTACTGTATCATGATATTATAACCATAAAACACTGGTACATAAGAAAATATTGAAATTAGTACTATTCAAGAATGAAGATAAAACTGATAGAAAATGATAAGTTTATTCACTTTCCAAAGATAATTATAATCACTCAGATGAAGTACAGTCATTTGTATATCGATTTCACTAATACTGATAAATAATTGTAGTGAACAAGAACACGGGTGGGGACAATCGACTGTATTTAACACAAAGATTACAGACTATCTCAATAAAATGTGAATACTATAAAGTCAATCGTCAATTTGCAAAATATCATTCCATCATATCAAACTGTACTGTTCCCGTTGCAAACACTAATCCATTGTCTCCCATTCCATTGTACATGTGTTTTCTTACAATTCCATTGTGCTCTTGCTCTTCCTTTCTTGATCTTCGCCATCTTCTGCTGCCGGACCTTACGTTTATTTAACGCACGTCATATACTACTTATATGAATATAAGTAGCTCACACCACAATAATTAGTGAATATTATATATAACCGAAATAGGAAAAATACGGAAATAGATCTTACACAGAACTACAACAAAATGTGTGCGGCGAATCATGTTATTCTCTTAAGTACTGATTTATAAAAGAACTTGCTTTAAATATTACCTATGTTGATCTGACTAATAAATTTCATGAAAATCTATTTGGTCCTCCTTTTATGGTCTACAAGGTATTTACACATTTCACAAGGTATGTGGATCCAGCCTAGTTGCATAATACGATGAAAATATTATATTGGTATGTTAGTTTTTGATGCAAAGGCTATAAAGCTGAGAATAAGTTTTTATTAAACAGTTGAGAATGATTGTGAAAATCAGGAAATATTCAACAATTTTCGGCGAAATGTGAAGGTTTTGGGTTTGATTAAGTCGAAGAGGGAAGTGGTGCTGCAGATCGAGATTAGTAAAGAGTATCGAACAAAGGCAATGTTGATATTAGAAAATGACATAAACTTTTGAAGTTAAAACGTAAAAGTCAACCGATCGAAATTAGCTCTTAAATAAAATTGGATGATGGTCATTGACTAATGGGACAACATGAACTTAAATTAAACGATGGTAAGTGTATAGATACCATAGGTATTTGGTTTAAAAATAGATAGTTTTATAGGCATTATTGCTATGAGAATGATCTTCAATGGTAATAATTTGACTTGATATGTATTCGTGTTATGCCTCAAAGGGACAGCCGATTATATGACAGTGATTTATCGATCGGATCAAGGATTCAGAGACTCAATAGTCTATTCTGGTCCGTTGTCCCCAACTCTGCTAACTCGATCAAAAAGTCTGGGTAAGGTGTAGAAAGTGTATTCTACAGACAAACAGCAGATAACAAGTCAAGTCAAGCACACAAATCAAGCGTATTTATACAAATATTTACAATCGATATTGTCATGGAAGATTTTTGAACATTAATCAACAATTGACTGCTATTTGAACATTTGATCGATAGATCATCAATTGACCTATTTGTACATTTAATCGATAAGTAAATTACAAAATTTGAGTTTTGGGGATCTATCGTCCCCAACAATTCGGTAATCCGCATAGCAGTAAAATGAAGTTTTCCGAGGAATATAATTCAGAAATGTTAATTGAAACACAGTATAAATAAAGAATATTCTTTTTAAAAGGTTTTTCATCAGATCCTACAGTTATAAAGAGAAAATGATGCATCGATTCTGTTGTCAAGTAATAAGAAAAATACATCTTTAAGAAATTATAACTTAATTTGAGGAGTTTTGGTACAGTAGGATTAAGCTATTAATTAATCTTTTTCTTGGTTGTTTGTGTCTTTCCATTGATGTTTAGGACTGTAAATGATCAGTCTCTTATTGGCAGATGTGGAGTCTTGGAGTGAATATCAGCTCTGGAATGCAGGGACGTCCAGCTAATGAGTTCTGAGTAGGACGAAACACGCGTACTGGATTTCGCTACTAGCCATCATCTATCTTTGCTTTTAAAATTCCTAATTTTGAAGTGACTAATATGTAATGTTTAAAATGTCATTTGAAATTGTGCGATTAATAGTCTGAATGAAATGTAGATAACATTGAGTAAATGTTTTAACGAACATTATATAACATATGAAATGATGTGAATTACTTAATAAGTAGTAAAGCTGAGTAAGTACTAATTATATTCTCCATATTACTAAACGATGAATAATAAAAATGAAATTATTTGTGAATAATAATGACAATAATATTTCAATAAGATAATTTAGAATTATGATGATACAAAGAGGAAGACTGTATATACGTTGAAGAAATTATATCATCTTATAAATAAAATCACTATTGACTTTTTGTGCCTGAGGTTGGTCGGAGTGTATGGACTCGTTGGACATATTTCTTTTGTATGCTAATTCTCGGGATGCTAATCGGAGTAATTATTACTTTTATATTCATCAATCTCAAGCCTAAACATTTTATGATCATCTCAAAATCGGATATCAGAAATAAAGAACGATTAGGAAATGATTAATTGTTATATGACACTTATATTTGTGATCACCATGATCAGCATTTAGGTTTGATTCAATTTTGCAAGTAAGAAATTTAGGTGGAGTATTGTCCTCTGAACTGGATGGTTTGGTTTACTCCTACTTGATGCTTGTGCTGATGATGTTTAGATGAACAATGAAAGCTCCAAAACCAAAAAATTCACCTCAGAAAACGAAACTTCACCTAAATCATTCACCTGAGCAACAAATCTTCTCCACTATTGTAAAATCATATTGAGTAAGTAAATTAGTTTGCTCCGAAGAGCACCTCATATCAAGAGATGTTGATAAGTTGAAATGGATTAGTTTAGATTAGACAACCAACTGTTTTAATAGTGGTCGTGTTGAGTTATATGTGAAGATTTGCGTAGTTGATACTAGAAATGAATATTTAATTCATGGATGTTGAAATCAAAATGGATTTCATTTTATCCTAAACTAATATGTACAATAATTTATTGGCAACTCAACTCGAATGACTATTCAATGTTAAATAATACAGAAAAATTTAAGTTCAAGTGACTGGTTTCAGTGATAAAATCTTTGAAGCAAATGTTGTTCGGAATAACAACGAAATCTTTGCAATTAAATTATGTAGCTCAGAAAATTTGACAGTGCTAAAATGATGAGTTGTGGTACTTCAGAGAGGAGTCTTTTGTTTGAGTCCTATCAGAAGAATAAACCAGAAAATAATAATAATAATCAAATTAGATGATGAATTAGTTTCTACTGTAGTCTTAAATGTGGTGAAAACTTCGCACTCTTAATTTCAATCATAAATAGATATATAGGGAGAGAGATTCAGCTTTTCTCATGTAATGTAAATGAATATAGAATAAGTGTATATATGTACTATAAACCATGTAAATAAATAAACCTAATCGATGCTCGATAGTGTTGTATACGTTAATACGGAGAAACAATCAAACATTCTCAAATTGGATGTAGTGAAGTGACAAAGAGTTCTCGTCATGAACTGATATAATTTTTGAGAAACTTTAGAAATCTAGGAGTATCTAACACCTAATTAGTCCTATTTTGTAATTCTTCAGCAGCGGACACTCACAAATGAAAACTGGACTGAATGCAGAACTTTCAAACCTCGAGAGCACCTCTTGAATTTCAATCGGGTCATCACAATAACAAGGTTATGATCTCTTTGTTTATTGATCTGTTCTATAGTACCCAAGAAATTAATTTCTAATTGACATGAACTCGTTTGACGTATATTAATATATCTAACAATGAAAATTGATGGTTTTTGATAAGATGTAAAGCAAATTAAATTGAAAGTTTCTAGAAGAAGCTTTCAATATCAATAAATATACTGAAGATTACTGTGATTACTAAGATAATGACATCGATGATTGTCGATGAATAAACACTGTATCTGACAAAGTTCATTTTATTTGATAAATATTGAGATGTAAATACATATAATAGTTCTTATAAAGTTTATAGTAATTTCAAAGCTCTTTTCCATCTTATTAACAGTAAAGAAACTTCTCCGATAAAATAAACCTAACTCAATCTGGATACGTTTATTTTTGAATTCTTTATAAATCTATAACTAGTTTTAAAGACGATTTTTCATCGTCTTTTCTTTATAACAGATTCAGTGAACAGTTAACTAAATGAAGTTATACTATCATGATATATGAAACATGAACATAGAAATAATG